CCCCGTGGCGCGCCAGGGCGCGATCAGGGCACGCAAGGAGACCATGCTCCGCGAACCCTGATCGGGGTAGGGGGCGCCGGAGCACGTGCTCCGACGCCCATCCTACCCACCACCTACTCCATAGGTGGCCGCGGTTTCGGACCCAGGGACCCCCCAGGACCAAAACAAAAAAGAAAAAAGAAAAAAGGGGGACCACGACACGACGCGACACGACGGGGGGACGAAACGAGCGACGCGACACGAACGACACGACACGGACGAGCGACACGACAGAGACGAGCCGCCGGCCCCACCCCAGGGCGGCGAGCGCTGGGGGGGACCCAGCACCGCCCTGGGGGAGGCACCAAGGCCTGGCGGCGCCCCCGGGGGAAGGAAACCGCACTTTGGCGGCGTCCCCCGGGGTGCGGGGGATTTTCGCCCCTCGGGCCTGGCGCTCCCCGCCTGCGCCAGGAGGACCCTAGGGTCCCGACCCCTCCCCTACGGGAGGGGCCCCCTCGGGGCAGAGGAGGAGGGGGAGGAGGGGGGGGGGGGAGAGAAGGGGGGAGGAGGAGGAGGAGGGAGGAGAGGAGGAGGAGGAGGAGGGGAGGAGGGAGGAGGATGAGGAAGGAGAGACTCCCCCCCCTGGGGCCCGCCGCCGCTTCGAGGCCCAGGGCCGCGGCGGCGACGGCGCCCGCCCCGTCCTCGGCTCGCCGGCCTCGCCGCGTGCCGCCCGCGCGGCCTCCTGCGCCGCTCCGGCAGCGCCCACGTAGACGAGGCTCTGGCCTGGGGCCCGAGGGGCTGGCGCCGGCGGCGCGCGCTAACGGCCCCAAGCGCCCGCCCTGCCCTCCCTCCCTCGCTCCTCCTCGTCCTCACTCCACGCTCCTCCACTTCACCCTCCTCTCCACGCTCCTCCTCTCCTCTCTCCTCTTCCCCCTCTTCCTCCTCCCCCTCCTTGACGCTCCTCCTTCCCCTCCTCCTCCTCCTCCTCCTCCTCCTCATCCTCCTCCTCCTCCTCCTCCTTCCCCTCCTCCCCCTCGCCCTCCCTCCTTCCCCCCTCACCCCCCCCCCTTCTGTGGTCCCGGGCCTCCTCGCGTCGTGGAAGCAGCACGCCCGAAGGTGCTGGGCCATTCCCGGCCACTCGGGGGACCTTCTTCTCTACAGGGCCCCCAGGCTGCCAGAGCACGACGCAGGTTGACTCCACAAGGCACTTGCCAGCAGGCTCAAAACTGTGGCTCAAAACTCTACGGGAGGGGGGAGGAGGAGAGAGGAGGGGGGAGGAGTTGAAAGGAGAGCCCTGCTCCTCCCTCATCCTGCCTCCTACCCGTGGGGCGAGTCGCAGCGGGTGAAACACACCTCAGGGTGCGTACACGTCAGGGTTACCCCCCCCTTCCGAACCTCCAGAAACCAGCGAGGACCTCGGGGACCTACCCCCACTCCTCCCTCCCTCCCTCCTCTCCAAGATTTCGCGACGCCGCCGCGGCCCGCGAGGGTCGGCTGCGCCGCCCGCGCCGACAGGTCTGCCCCAAGCGTCTGCGGCTGCGAGGCGTGCTGCTGCCGCGCATCCCGTGCCGCGGGGGGAAGGGGGGCCTTCTGAGAAGGACTGCCCCCCCCCTCCCCCCCCCTCCGTCGTCGTCGCTGCCGCAGGGGGGGGAGGGGCGGGGAAGGGAAGGGGAGGGGACGCGGACTGGCGGGGAGGGTAGCCCCCTCCGCCTCCCGAGGAGGACTGCCCACCCCTCGCCTCCCCTCCGTCGCCGTCGCTGCCGCAGGCTTCGGCCTCGGAGATCTTCGGAGCTCGAGGGGCAGAGGAGCGCAGAAGAGACGGCCGGCTGCCAGCGCCTCCTGGCCAGCGTGCCGCGGCGGCGGCCCTGGCGACACGCTGTGCCTGGCGAGCGGGTGGCGAGCTCAGATGGCCCCCGGCCTTCCGAAGAGCCCGCCAGGCCCTGTTAGGAGGCCTCTCAGACGGCTGCTGCGGAGGCGCAAAGGCTGCTCCGAAGGCGCACGGGCTTCTCCGAAGCCCCCAGGGCTTCCCAGAAGGCGCGAGGAAAAGTACGAGCGGCTGCTCCGAAGGCGCGAGGGCTTCCCCAAAGGCCCCCAGGGCTTCCCAGAAGGCGCGAGGAAAAGCACGGGCGGCTGCTCCGAAGGCGCGAGGGCTTCCCCAACGGCCCCCAGGGCTTCCCAGAAGGCGCGAGGATGGCACGGGCGGCTGCTCCGAAGGCGCGAGGGCATCCCAGAAGCCCCGAGGAGCCGCACGAGAAGGCCTGCTCCCCCTCGCGCCCCCCCTGGACCAGCGCCGCCGTGCGCAGGGAGGCGGGGGGGGGGCTGGAGGGAAGGTCGGGTGCCCCGACGACGGGACTGCAGTCAAGAAGCTCGAATAAGGACCAATTTGGGTTCGGAGGGTGCTGGATGTTCCTTCGGTTCCTCCGTGGCGGTTCCTCTTGGAGGCGCTTCCGGAGCCAAAAAGGGGCGTCGCTCCTGACGTCTGGTTCCTTCTTTCAACGGCCCGACTGTAGGATGGTGAAGCGACGACTGGCTCAGGATGCGCTCCAAGCGTTCCTGGACATCCAACGGGCGTCGTTTCCGGAGCCCGCGCGGAGCAACAGGAACCCGGGAAATCCTGGATGAGCAAGGGGTACCTTCGAGCGTATCGCCATCATGCCTTCTTGCTCCTTCGAAAGGAGGGGGCCAGGAGGAGCGGGACTCACGCATCTTGGCCAGAGGAGCATGTGCGAACGAAGGGCGGGGCCAGTGGGGGACGCACGTAGAGATGAAGATCAGGTGCCGAGATCTGGGACAGCTCATGGCCCCAACCATGACGATTATCCACACACGCCCCCCCCCCCCCGAAAGGGACCCTGTGATAGCCTCGCCGGTTTCGGGCCTCTGGGGCCCTCCACGAGACCAAGGACCGCGAACAGAAACTGCTCAAGGAGACGTGTGCAGAGCCGGTCCTGGCGAAAGCCCGGTCTGGGACCCGGCTTCCTCAGGACCCCTCTCGTGCGTGGCGATGCCGAAGGGAGGACCTTCGAGAGCGTTCGGTCCAGGAGGTTTCTCGACGGAGTCGCCCCGACCGAAGCGGCGGACGACTTCGGATGCATGCTGGGCACAGACGTGGTCCGTGCTTTGTCACCAGCCCTGGACCGGAGGGACCCAGGTCGCTGGACGTCCTTCCAGAGGCCACCAGAATGCCCCCGAGGCCCTGGAGAGCCGCGGCCGGCCAGAGACATCCCCGCAGGCGCGTCGGCTCTCGAGGGTCCGCCGCTTGCTCGGAGGTCCCCAGGCACGCCGACCGTGGCTCGTTCAAGGCCTCCAGATCTGAGGGTTCCTCCTCCTCATCCTCCTTCTCCTCCTCCTCCTCCACAATTACTCAATATGAATATTTGCGTATTTGCCCCCCCCGCGTACTGTTTTTTTACACACACGATTCCCCGGAGTTGGGTTTTCGCTTGCGTTTTTTTTCCAAATGCTGCTCTCGCTGAGGCGCCGGCCTCATTTCTGCTCCCGAATCGTTCCGAATCGTGCTCCCGCTGCAGCGCGGGCCTGATTTTCGGATCGGTGTTTTGCCTCCGTCGTTCAGGATGGCGTTCTCGCCCCAGCGCGGGCCTCTTTCTCGCGCGCCCATCCGCCCGCCACCACCGCGCCGCACCACGCCCCGCCCCGCCGCACGCACACCCACCGCCACTTCCACCCACCAACGCACGCACGCACGCACGCGAACCACCACCGCGCACCGCCACCACCACCGCACTACCCCACCCACCAACCGCACTACCCCACCCACCACCATCAACGCCAACCGTCGTTTTCACACCACATCACACGCGGCAACCGTTCGGCAACACAGACACAGCACGCACGCACGCATGCGCACAGCACTAGCACGCATGCACTGCACGCACCACGCACGCACGCACACGCACCACGCCACACACGCACACGCACTACGACACACACACACAAACGCACACGCACACGCAACACGCACACACACACACACACACACACGCAACGCACGCACGCACAGCACGCTCGCAGCACGCACGCACGCACGCACGCACGCAACACACACAAAAAACCCGAACAAACACAAGATAGCACTATTCTATATATATATATATATACATACACACGCACACACACACACACTCACACACACACACGCACACACACACATACACACACCACCACCGCCACCACCACCACCGCCATCACGCACGTACGCACCTGGCCCACCACCAACCCACCAAGACGCCACACCACGTCACACCACAGCACACGCACACACACACACACACAAACACACAAACACACACACACATACACACCGCCACCACCACAACAACCACAACCACGCACACACGCACGCACGCACGCGCACCACCACCCACTACGCACACGCGCGCGGAGCCACAGATCCACTACGACACGCGTCCGCGGATAGAGAAAATCAGCGCCATGGTAAGGGATGGGAAGGAGGGGCAGGATGTCAGATGTTGACGTGAGCGCACCTAACTTGTCCTCCTCCTCCTCCTCCTCCTCCTGCCGAGGTCCACAGAGGTCTCCAGGGGGCACTCGGACGCCCAGGCGTGGCCCAAGATGCCCCACCGAATCCGCCGGCCTCTGGTGGCCTGGGCGTGCGGGCCGCGTCCTGCCCCTCCTCGCCCCCTCGGCACGGGCTGCCGCAGAGGGGGGTGGGGAAGCCCGGGGCTCGGCACCAGCCGTGGGCGGGAGGCACGTCCACGCCCACGGCCCCGCGGGCGGGGCCCCTGGGCCGCGACACCCGGACTGCGGGGCGCCGCTTCGCGAATGCCCCGCTCGGCACGCAGCCGTGTGACAGCGCATCCATAGGCTCGCGCCCCGGAAGCCAGACCGCGAGGGCATGAACATGGATACGGTTTACCAGCCTGGAACATATCCCTATCCCTATACAGGGCACCTCCTCATCACGATGCCAATATTGGGGATTCCCTTATTTTTTGAGGGCGGATCCCTAAGATTCTCATCGCCTTTTGGCGTGTCAATCCCAGGGATAAGGATACGTTCGAGGCTGGTAAACGGTCACCGCTCGCGCAACAAAACCGCGCGCGCGCGCGGTACGGGTCCAGAGGCCGCGCACGCGTGGACCTGACACAGCACCCGCGCCGGCCCTCTGGTGGTGTGGAGACGGGGGCAGCCTTGGAACTTGGGGGGGCTCACCCTGAGGCCCCCTCGGCTTCACCACCCCCGGATGCTTGCTCGCGTCCCCCATCTGAAGGACGTACTCGGCCCTCTCGCGCTCCTCCTCGGTCACCTCCGAGAATCCCAGCAAACTGCACGCCACCAGCAGCCCCGTGGGCAGGCCCATCACTGGGCCACCGAGCTTATGGCGGCGTGCAGTTTGCGGGCTCACCGATCATGGGGGGACAAACAAACACCCATATATCGCGACTCCCCGGACCTCTCCCGGGGAGGGTTCCGAGGGAATCCAGCCGTCGCGACGAGGGCCCCCCAGGAGGTCCCAGCAAGCCAAAACGAGGGACGGGCAACGGTATCGGTAGATCCCCTTCCCCCATCAAACGATCACCTCCTTCCCGTCGACGGCGCGCACCGAGCCGAGCGCGCAGATGACGTGCGACCTGTACAGCGGCTTCCGGGACACCGGGTTCTGGGCCAGCTGCACCATCAAGAGGTGCCGGAGGTCGCTCAGCTTTTCCAGCTCGCCTAGCTCGGCGACGCGGTTCGTGCCGAGGTAGAGCGCCCGCAGGCGCTCGAGGGGGCCCAGGTTGTTCAGGCTCTTCAGCCCGTTGTTCTCCGCCCGCAGCTCCCGCAGCGCCTTGAGGCCCTCGAAGGACTGCTCGTCGAACTGCCTGATCTTGTTGCCGTCGAGAACCTGTCAGGATGTCCGCAGGGGAGGCCTGCCGCTCCGTCATCCCTCCTGCCTCCCCTCCGTCCTCTCTCCCTCCCCCTCCTTCCCAGTGTGTCTTCTCCTCTTCCATCCATCCTCTGTCCATTCCCTCCATCCTGTTCCCTCCCTCCTTGGTTCTCACCCATCCAGTCTGTCTTGCCTTCTCCCCCGCTTTCCTTTTCTGATGCATAACAACTTCCCCATTTCTCCTCCCACCTCTCCTCCAATTTCGATCCTCCTCCGCCTCCTCCTCCTCCTCTTCCTCCTCCTCCTCCTGCTCCTCCTCCTCTTGACAGGGTATAATCTACATGTCACCCTAGGGAAACAGGCTGCGCTTTGGGGTTATGCAAGCGAATGGTACCTCCATTGATAGTGCCTGCGCGTTCCCCGAACGACTACCGAATGGCGGCCCGCTCGTAGACATGGCAGCTTGGAGAGCGATCCTCCACCTCTTCCTCCTCCTCCATTCCATTTCCTTATGAATAACTCCTCTCTGTCGCGTCCCGAAGACAGTCGGAAGTGCGGGCCGGGCTTTCGCCTGAGACTTCCTTATACTTTTGAGCCTGAAGCTTGAAACCCGAAACAAGTTTTACACATGGAGGACGGGTGGCTTTCCAAATGTGACTCTCGCCTTAGCACCGCGCACATTCGTTTCAAGAATATGCAAGACATTTGCTGGATGGAGGGCGTTTCGTCTTCAAAATGTGTTTCTCGCCTTAGCGCCGCGCACATTCGTTTCAAGAATTTGCAAACATTGTGCGGATGGAGGGCGGCTCCTTTTCAAAAACATGTTCTCGCCTTAGCGCCGCGCGCAGCTTTCCCCAAACAATCAAGACCTTCACGGATTGAGGGTGGTTCCTTTCCAAAATGCTGTTCTCGTCTTAGAACCGCGCACATTCGTTTCAACACATTGTAAGAATTGCCCTGGTTCTAATGGCTACCGTTCCAACAATGGTGTGTTGGAACGGCTCAAGATTACCAGGGCGCAACAGTTACGTTGATTCGCGGTGTTGAGGTCCCAAAAATGGCGTTCTGGTACAATTCAGAACCGTCACGACGCAACATTCAAATTGACTCTTGGCGTTGAAACCATGGGAATGGTGCCCTGGCACGCGTCAAGAATTTCACACGGTTGTCCCCAAAGAGGCTTCCTTCCCCAGTGGAGATGAACCGTTTTTTATCGGGACCTGTGACGAGCGAGCTTGGTTTGAGGGTGTATTCCAACGAGGCTGATCAGTCTTGGGTTTGAACTGGTCCTCCTCCTCCTCCTCCTCCTCCTCCTCCTCCTCCTCCTCCTCTTCCTCCTCCTATCCTCCCTCCTCCGTTTCCCCGCCCTCTCGTCTGAGACCTCCCTCGCCCCCACCCTACGGTCAAAACTACTGCTTAGCGTTGCGACACGCATTCCTCTGAAAGCGGATAGCGCGTAGCTCCGCTCCGAAGGGCGGGAGGCTGGGCAAAAGTTCGGGGCGTTGACGCTTGGGAATAAGGACGTGGATAGCGTGTCGCGCCGACCCGTGGTGGGCAAGAACCGGCGGAGCGACACGCTATCCAAAATGTCCCGACGGTGCCCACCCCCCCTCTCCCTCCCGCCGCGGCCCCCCCCCTCCCTCCTCCAACCTCCGACTTCCGTGTACCACGATTCCCCTACCTCTTCCGTCCTATCCTGCTCCCCTCCCCTTCTTCCCAACCTCCCCGCACCTCTCCGCTCCTCTCCTTCCCCCCGCTCCTCCTCCTCCTCCTCCTCCTCCTCCTCCTCCTCCTCCTGCTCCTGCTCCTGCTCCTCTTCCCCCTCCTCCTCCTCCTCCTCCACCTGCTCCTCCTACTTCTCAAGACACATCGGCCCGAGCACAAGCTCTTTTTTCCCCGTGGAAAGATCTGCATGTTCTCGCCGCCTCGGTGCCGCCCCGTGGCGAATTGAGGGGCAACCAGAGTCGAGGGTGCAGCCCAGCCCTCGTGCTCTGGCTGACAAAAGCCGAGACCCAGCCACGAGTCGTATGTGGTCATCGTGCCAACACTGTGAGCGACAAGAGTACACTGATAAGCTGGTTGAACGAGGCCAGACATGTGTTTTGTGGCAGGAAGGCAGAACCTGTACAAGCCCAAGAGGAAGCCGCCAGCCTCCACGGATGAGGGTGGTCAGAATCCTCTCAAGAGTTCTCTCAGGACGTCAGTTCATTTTGTGGATGGCCAGGGCCGTCGCGATAGTGGAGGAGATGGCTCACGGCTTTCGACACCTACGGGACCGCCTCGTGGCTCTGTGGGCATTTTGAAAGCGCATGAAGCAGTTGCAGCACATCTCCAGGCAGCGCTCCAGGCAGCGCGCGATCTAGATCTACGCACTAGTCTTCAGCCGCAGCTCGAGAAGCTCCAGTTGCAGCAAGGCTCATCTGGCCCATCTGGGGCCACCAACGTTGTGCAAGCCATGCAGCAGGCCGATGGAGCTTGGAGAGATGTTAAACACCGCCATCAGCAGGCGGTCACGTCGGTTTTGAGGCTCGAGAAAAGTCTTCCAGCAGCTCGTGAGAAGGAGGACAAGCTCGCAAAGTTAGTTGCCGAGGCCAGTCTTGCGAGGTCCCCAGCAGCAGCGGTGGTGTGGCGACGCTCGAAGGAGTATCGACCCCTGAACGGACTGAGCCAGCTCCAGCGATGGAGAAGAAGCCGTTCGATGTCGCTTGGGACGAGGAGCTGTGCAATAACGTGGTTCAGCTTGAGCGCGAATAGTCGGAAGAAAATACGCAGCGCAAGCGCTTGGCTGAGATGCAGGCGCAGAAGGCCTCCATCACCGCCGAGGCTGACGAGGTCTCGAAGCTCGTCGAGAGGGCCAAGGCCACAAAAGCAGTCATCGCCGACCGTCTGGCCAAGAAGCGTCGGGGCGAAGATGGCGGAGTCGCAGTAGGCAGTGGAGGGCCAGCAGCAGCAGCGCCAGCAGCAGCACCAGCCGAGTCGCCTGCAGCGCCTGAGGTGGGGGCACCTCCTGAGGAGGAGGTCAAGCAGCAGGCAGAGGGAGGCCAAGATCGCGGCCGAGGCAGAGACGCAGTTCCACGCGCAGCGGCATGCAGAGCAGGCAGCTCCTGCAGCCGAGGCATCTACGTCATCGTGACTAGGGGCCTCCAGGTCCCACCATGCGGCCTTCGAGCTGCGAGCCCGTCCTGAGTTGCCAGAGTTCTCAGCTGTGTTGTTCGGGAATGTTGCGCCCATGGGCGACGAGGTCTGGGACTTCACCGTGGCCGACCTCCAGGAGGGGGACGTAGATGTTTTCGCTTTTGCTGAAACGCATGTTTCACGTGCGAACCCGAATCCTTGGTTTACGAAAACTCGTCGTGCGAATCTCAGGTTGCATATGACTCCACCTCGCAAGACAGGGCGGGCCGTCACTCTCCAGGGCCAGGACCGTGACACTGAGGGAGGAGAGTAGGTTATGATGCATCGTCACAGGCAAGCACACTCGTTCGCCCATCAGCTCGATCGGGCGCAGGAAGTTCAGTACGATGGTCAGGTAGCTGTAGACGGCTCCGCCGCAGTACATATACATATGACGTGCTATCCGTATGTGTTAGATTCCTTTTGCGCCTACACTTCGGGGGGCATGACATGTTCGAACCTCCAGAGGTTCGCCAAACTGGGTGCCTTTTTGGCCGCTTTGAAACTTCCTTGGGTCCTCGTGGAGAATTTCAATATGTCCGCGGCCACTCCCGGTAAGGCTGTGTTTCTTTCCAGCGTCGGGGGGCAACCTGTGCTTCCTGGTGCTGACTGCACCTGCGACGCAGGAACGTCTGGCTCGAATATTGATTTCGCGGTCACTAGTGCGGCAGCGGCCCAATTGTTTCACTCGGTTTAACCTGTCTTAAGGTCCCGTGGACACCTCCCTGCGGCCTCAGAATCCTGATGAGATCGCCAGGTAAGCAGTTAGTCCAGCGGGCCCTTCAGCTTCCGACGAAATTGCCACGGGTCGCCAGGCCCACCACTCGCCCCACCGAGAGGCCCCTTGGGGGCGCATGGGCTCGCGAGGACAGCGGGCGCAGGTCAGCGCGCGCAGTCAGCGCGCCTGCGGATCTCGATGCTCTGTCAGCAACGCCGTCGGAGGAGGATCCGTGGGCGCACGGGCTTAACTTTGTCGATGCTCACGCTTCGGAGTCGCCTGGGGGGCAGGGTGCGTCGGCTCCTCCCGGGGGTCGATGCCTCGCGCCCTCCCGACGACCCTGGGCAGGGCCGACCAGGCCAGCGCGGCATGCCCATCATGGGCGGGCGATTTTACTTGCCACAGTATGCCCCGTCTGTCGCGCATCGTCGTCTCAGAGCCATGCAGTCGACCCGCCCGCATGGAGCGTTGAGCCGCCCCCCCATCTGCTGAAGGAGAGGCTCTTTATGTGCCGTTTCACGCGTCCGACGAGACGTGGGTTAATGCTCGCGCTCAGGTTGGATGTCTGCCATCGCCGCCGCCTGCCCCTGCCTTTGCTGCCTCAGTAGCCGCTCGGCTCGGATCTGGCTCCGTAGGCCCAGCTTCGGCCCTTTATGGTTCTTGGGTCAAGGCTGCGGAGACGGCGGTGTGCGATCATCGCGGCAAAGCCCCGCTACAAGGTATCTCGCGCTCTCAAGGTTAGAGATTCGTTGTTCAAAATGTTCGGGTTCCGAAAAAGCCACGCGCTACTCCATTTTGCAATAGTGTTGCTTCTTGGTGGGAGCAGCTTTCGGTCGTTTTGGAGCGCATCCAAAGACATCGATCTAAAGGGAACGGGGTGGTTAAGCGTGACAGTTGAGGGTTGCTCTTCGTCATCTCCTGGATGAAGCCCCTGATGAGGCCCGCGCGGGCATCGGGGCGAGGGCGGGGCCGTCTTTGACAGCCTGGTGCCAGCCATTGCAACGTGGGGCCTCAGCCCCACCAGTTAATCTTCAGAATTTTGTCAAGTCAGCGCAGCTTTGCGACGAGCTTTGCGTGCATCGATGTAGGCGACGAGCTTTGCGTGCATCGCTGCATGATTTCAAAG